ACACTGTTACAACACCAATTTAAAAACATTAAAAATACATACCAAACAAAACATTTTTTTTTTAATAGTTAAAGTTCAAATGTTGACAAAATTAAAAATGTACGAACTTTTTATTAGTACTTAGTTAAATTAGATATTTAAACAAAGAATAATATTAGTTTTTTTTTTTTTTATTAATTTCAAAAATATTATTCCTGGGTTTTTATTTACAGTAGCATTAATGCCCAATTATAAAACCAATCACTTTAATTACAATAATATCATAAAATATATCCAAAGTATACTTAGTAATACTATGAGCTGACAGACCATATAATTTATCATATACTATGATTTTATATAATTGAATCAACATTTAACAAATCCATCACAGTGACATTTCTAGACACCTAATGTACAGCAGAGAAATACTCACACCCACTTGCTGCTAGTTTTGAATAATATATGAACAGATTTTATCTTTATTATTAGCAATTTTATAAAATTTGATTAGTACGTATTCATTTTATGAAAGCAAAAGTAGACAAAACATAGTAGTAGTTACACGTATTTATGATATGCAGCGTCATACAAAGCACTGAAACACACAGCACATGGCCCACTAGCGACACATCCATATCATATAAAATATACGATTGCTGTTATCATAACTTCTATTATTGAATATTAACATTAGTTCTGTACTAATACTGTTGACCTTACCACTCTACCCTGCCATTCTGGCATATTTCATCTATAAATACTGTTTTATTTCGTCAGAGGTCACAAATAWATATTTAATTTTTAACATTATTGATCAAAAATAGGAATAAACAATGAGAAATTATATGAATAAACATTTTTATAGAAACATTTACACCTAAAYTAGTAGCCTCGATAATAGCAAATAAGGTATGCATATTTTCTAAATGTATTTATGTACCGTCTATTATTAGGTATTCAAATTATTTAATGTAGGTACATTCTCCAAAATAATTTTAAGTAGGAACCTATCTACATTTTTATACATAAACAACTGTTTACAATTGTTATCTTAAGTTGTTACTATTGATTTGGAAAGTTATTAACTATGTATCATCATTTGGCATGTTAATTTGTGTTATCTTTATAATTTTTTATGATGTATATATTTGTTTATATTAGTTTTGTTWAAATTATTTTCCTAAAGGATGATATTAGGTATATGGTCAAAACACAAAGTATAAAAGTTGGGGTACAAGTGTTATGAATAGTGTTTAAGAATACATTAACTTTCAACAAGTCGAAAAGTTGATTTATTAATAACAAAAAATAATTTGTATAAGAATAGGTAAGCCACAGAACAACAAAAATATAAAATGCTTGTGTACCAATGTCGTATAAYTTTGAAAGAATCACTTATCAACCAGTCGTTTCAAAGCATACATGTAGTGTTATAATTTGTAAAACGTATGTCAAAAAGACCATTTAAAAAACGAACAAAAACATTAAACTCGACAACACAGGGTACCCTGACATAATATAAGATGAACCTATGTCTGAGCAAGAACTTTTGTCACAAGCCCTGCAGTCTATAACTTGAAGAGATTGAAATCGAACAGTAGGAAATACCAAAAATTCAGCAGGTTTATCGAATACAGGCTGTCAGAATAAAATAGTGATGAAACATGTACGTAGGTAGGCAATGTTTCTCAATCCAYACTTTCTCATAGTTCCATCAGACAATAAAGTCATTAAAAAAAAAACAACTGGGYAGGTATCATATAAATATAACATACTATCATAAYATCTTTTGATATCTGAAAAATATCACTTTAATTTCCCCCGACCCCCTCCACAACAACCATAACGTATGGTCCATAAGGTACATCAGACACGGTTTGGTCTACGGGGATAGACACCGTTGTCGGATGTAGAATCACCGGCAACCCCTAGCTGGACTACGGGTGGGGTGGTGGGGAGACTCGTCTAAGTTGTCGACCGRATATTTCGTGTGACTCACCTTTGTGTTTGGCGTGTGAAGAGCGGAAAACTATGCGRCGACGTCGCTTTCGGGGCAGCTAACCGCCGTGGCAAGGGTCCGCGGCGTCTAGACGGAAAACAGTGGCCAGGACGACGACGAGGAACACCAACGAGACAGCGGTGATAACGAGCGCGCCCGATGCTCAAATCAATGTCGGCGGCGGGTGTCGAGTGCGTGCAGCAGCGGCGTCGTCGAGTGTGGTCTCGGGTGTTCCGTATGTCGCGTCGCGAGTCGTCGTCGTCGTCGTCGTCGACGGGCGAGCAATCACACAAACACACACACAGACACCGTCGCTCACGGTATACGAGTGAAAGCGTGCGTGCGCGCGTGTGTGTGTGTGTGTGTGGTGGTGGTGGCGATCTAAACACGCCCGGCGAAGTCTACAGCCGCTGCTCGCGACTCTGTCGGACTGCGATCGAGTTCGTGAGTGTGTGTGCGAGTGAGTGTGCGTGCGGGCGCGTGCGCGGTGGGCCCGTGGGCGAAKGACGGGCGGCGCGCGATGCCAAAACTTTACCGTTCCGTGTGTACGTGTGTGAGTTTTTTCGTTATTATTATTATTATTCCGTAGTCCGTGGACACGACGCGCGCGACGGTAGAGAGGCGCTCTCTAGTGTTAGCGTGAGTTGTTCGCAACGCAAGGAATGTATTCACTATTTATTATTTATTATTGTTATTGCTATTATTGCAGGTCACGAATCGTTGTTATTGTTATTATTTACATTATTACATTGTATACTTTGTTACCGTCAATGTTATACAGAAATCTTGTATTCGAAGATAATACACATGCTATACC